ACGCCACACACATGCATGCGCACACATGTACACATCTACACACACACCACACACACACCACACACATGCACACACCTACACATGCCACACACACATGCATGCGCACACATGTACACATCTACACACACCACACACACATGCACGCACCACACACATGCACACACCACACATATGCACTCGCACACATGCAGACACCTACACACGTCACACACCACACATATGCACTCGCACACATGCAGACACCTACACACACCACACACAAACACGTGCACACAGGCACAGACCAGGATAACGAACGCACGTATACACGCATCACACACCACACACAAACACGTGCACACAGGCACAGACCAGGATAGCTCCAGGCAACCCGCGGCGCTGCGTGATGCTCTCCGAAGACTGCAGCGCCACCTGGTGGGTGAAGGGAGCATTTCACTCAAAGGAAATCCCGCAGTCAAGCAGATTCCAGGGCAACCAAGATCGAGAAAACACTATCAACAAGGCGTGACCATCCTCTTTTTAAAAAGGACTATTCAGTCTCAAAAGCAAGGCAAAAACCAACCCTTCTAGGGCAACTACAAAAAAACTGACGTATTTATGAAAATACCGGTGTGGCCAGGGTTAAGACCAGACGCACGTGAGATTAGAAGCGGGAGGCTCAGCGCTGCCCAGCCATGGCCGCCGCGCCGTGGCCGACTCACAGGACAGGGCGGCCGGAGGCTCCACCGTATGGTGCCGGCTCAGACCCTGGGGACAGAGCGGCTGCCCACAAGCCACCCTTGTGCCAAAATTCGGGTTCCCAGACACGACCCCAAGGCTCCTGAGTCACAACGTTTGGGGCCAAACCTAGGAATTGACATACACACATTTTGAAGTCCCGAGGTGATTCCAGTGCATCAGGACAAAGGATCTGGAATGGTCTGAGACAACTCAAAACACAAAGAGGAAATCAGTCTCAGATTTCACGGCTACTGCACGTGAAGCCAGCGTTTCCCTGCACTTAAGTTCCACATATCAAGTCGCAGGCCCGGCAGGGGTGGGCGGGAGGCTCTGACGTGACACCATCTTCCTGGCACCACAAGCTCGAGGTCACGGAGGAGAAACCAACCCCACAGAACAGACCAGGGCGGCGGCCCCACAAGGAGGGCGGGCAGTGGTGGCCGGAGAGAGCCAGGGCTGGGGACAGGCACAGCAGCTGTCTCGGGGGCCTGACGGCTGTCCCTGGTGCCCCAGCCCGGCATGGGGACAGGACAGGATCCTTGGTCCGTCAGCGTCAAGGGTGCTCGAGCAGGACGCGAGAACCACGAAATGAAAGGTTTCCGTTCTTCCCCACCCATGGGCATCGACAGAACATTCAAGATGCAGCATTGTTCCTTATAGCTTCGTCACCTCCTTTCAATTTTAGACCAGAAAAAAGAATTAAAAGGCATCAACACCCCCGGTTTAACCTTTCAAAAGAAAAGTCCTTTAGACAACAGAGCTGCCACGGGAAAAAATAATCGACGTGAATCACGACTGAGAGAAAGCAGGCTGGATGGAAAACACGGAAATCCCACACACGGCTACGCTGCGTAACCATGATCCCAGCCACCACTCGCTCGGGGCTGGCGGGGCTCACTGACGTCAGGCCAGCCCCTCACGCGCATTTCCCCGAACCATTATCATGTGACCTGCACCCCGGGCACGGACACCCCCATGTCCCAGACAAGGAAGGGGCTGCAAGACACTGAGTGACCAAGGTGGCCAGAGACACCCAGCTCCCCCCGGGGACGAGCCAGGCTGGGGGAGTCAGGCCCGGGAGGGCTCTGGAGGGTGACACTGGCCACACACTGCCCCTGCCACCCGAGGCCACCCGGGAAAACGAGGGGACGCAGAGACAGAGGTGGAGGCCTGTTAGCCGCAGGGCACAGAACGGATTCTCCGGCCCCTCCCATGCTGGCCACTGCCCTCTGTCAGCGTCCTGCCTGCGAAGGTCCCCGACTTCACGCACCGTCTCCTCTGAGCCTTCTGCCTTGTCTGGACTTTCTGCTCTCACCCTTCCCGCTGCGCCGCGTTCTCCGAGACCAGTCCCGCCCCAATCCCGAGCGCCCTCAGTGACCAGCAGGGACCCAGCCGTGGCCGGTGCCCGGTGGTAGAGGGCTGGGTGGGTGAGTGTCCGGCTCTGAGCCTCGTCGGATGGCAAGACGCGCTCGGTGACCCACTCCCGCCTTTGACTCATGGGGCTAAGCCGGGTGGGTGAGCCCGACCGCAGGGTGGGCAGAGTGCCAGAGTCTTCCTTCCTGGGAACATCTGTCAACAACCCTCCTCCGGCAGCAGCCGCTCAGGGCCGCCTCCCGCTGGGGCGCACAGCGGGCTCGGCGGCCGGGCTGTGGTCAGAGGCACAGAGTCCAGGAACGGGACTCGTCCTCACACAGCTGGGGACGAGGTTCCGACCACTGACCGCGCCTGCGCCGGGGCCTCCCCAGGTGAGACGCGTCCCGACGGCACTGTGGGGACGTGCAGGGAGAACTGCACCGACGCGTGTCTGGGACTCCGCACAGGGCCGGCGCGCAGCACACGCCCCCAGGGGCAGCGACCGAGCAATTGCCCCCCAGCTCTGCCTACGCCTCCCCCGTCTCTGCGCTTCAGCTGCACGAAACGTGAGCCTATCTCAGCCTGGCCAGGAGTTAGCAGCTCGTAGGTGTCCCGCTCAATCTTGGTTCAAGCCCTGACCTTGCCCCCAGGCATTTCTGTGCTGTTCCTCTCTAACCCGACTGTGCTCTACGCGGATCGATCTGCCCACCTGTCTCTGCCCCCATCTCTGTCTACGCATCCAGGTATGTCCCTGTCCACACCACGCTGCCCACTTGGGGAAAACCCAAATCCACTGAAAAGCATCAGCCCTACCCTGGACGGCCTACAACTCCGTGGTCTCGCTCTTCTTGCTGAAGTTCTCTCTTCCTTTCACCCGAAGATAAGGCAACGCGAACCACCGACCCCCACCCCGCGCGCAAACATCCAGACATCAGCAAACGCGGCTCCTCCCACCTGCTGCTGAGATAAACCCTCGGGCATGGGCGTCAGCACGGCGTCCGGGTGCCTGCAGTCGACCTCGATGAACACGTTCTGCTCCTCCTCAAGACAAGATCTGTGATCTTAAAAAAAGTCAAAATGCGTGAGCTTTACGTCAAGATAATACATTCACAACAAGTTTCCACAGTAAGAAAAGCCGTCAAGCAAAGGTTCCATGAGGACACTTCCATTTTCCGTGCTTCTCCCCGCGGGCTGTTAGTGCAGCGCAATGTAACAAACCCAACAAAGTATCCTTCCCATAAGGGGAAGAAAGAGTCGGCCAATATTTGAAATTTTCAATATTTGAAGTTTAATCACAAAAGGCAGGGGTGTCACTGGAATAGCTAGATGGCAAAGCAGCAATATTTTAGAACCTAAATACTTTAATTTTTTAATCTGTAAAATATCACAATCAGAAACAAGGAGCAGCTGCTAAGAATGGAGGATAACAGGGGCTTGGGTGGGACTTTGCATGTCTCTTGATCTTCCATCTGCCCCGTCTCTATAAGTCTGAAAAAGCACAACTTTCCCAAAATCAAACAGTTCAAATCAAAACTAGATTTGCAATTTTTTTAAGAAACCTGGATACCGCTAACTACCTTAAAGAATCCACAAAGTGGGTCACAGAAACTGAGTTTTTCTCACTCAAAGATCCGAAACCCTGGTACACTGAGGCGTCATCTCAGGGGAAACCCGACCACTGTCCAGACTCCTCTCTCGGAGACGGACTGACCGCACGGGGTGGCGGCCGGCACGCCGCATTCGTGAAAAGCGCGGCGGCCGACTCTCGCCAGCACGCAGGACGGAGAACACCGGTTCAGTCCGCGCCTCGCACTCCACACTCGGCACACTGAGGCTCTGCCTGGATTCCGCCGACCTCCCCACGGCCCCCGACGACCAGCCCCCTCAACCAGAGGCCAGTCCTGGCTCCTCCCGCAGCCTGGACCAGGGCCGCTCCGACCGCTGCCCATCGCCTCCCGGGGACCACGCTGGCCTGCAGACCTCAGCGCCTGCGGGGGCCGCCGTGGCTGTTTCTAACCAGCTCCCCGAACCTGGGACCCAGGCGGTGCGGTGCTGCCGGGGGCAGAGCACACTCTGCGCGGCACCGAACGCAGCCCCAGACCCCAGACTCCCCACCCGACAGCCCTGCCCGGCCTTCGCGGGCTGCACAAAAGCCGCCTCCACGAAGGCTGCCCCGCTGGTGTCCCCGGCACAGATTTCCCTGCACATCTTATCAGGACGCACACACCTGTCTCCTTCACCAAGCAGACCCCCCGGGGGGCCTGACACCCCGTCCTCCTCCGTCCTGTTTGAGACGCTGAGGACTTCGTCAGGGTTGAAAGAGAAAAAGGCCTGATTGGTTAAGTTCCACTTACATACAGTTCCCAGGCCATTCCCTGCAGAGACCGAGACAGCAAAGTCCTTCCTAAGCGCGTTCGCGGACACTGACCCCGGACGCCGACCCCGTGCAGGGCACCTTAGCTCGCGTGGAGACACAGGGAACCAGGGCGCAGAAGAACCGGTCAGAGCCACAGCGACCACTGCAGAGTCCCGGCCTCTGAGCCGCCTCCCACAAAGCCAGCGCTCAATTCTCCACGCACAGCGGTTCCGGAAACCTTCTCGGGTAGTAAATGGTCCCTGGCCTGCAGCCGCTGTCAGCGTGCGGCATATCTGCACACGTGTCCTTTTCACGTATGAACTGCTGCCTGGATGAGGTTTTTAGAAAAACCGGAAAATTCTGGTATCATCCTGAATCTTCCTGCACCAGGAACAGGTTCCTACGGCCCGTTTGGAAGGCCACCTTCCCAGTGGACGACCTCCGTCCCCCAGGACGGTGAACACACCCCGGAGCGCCAGTGCTCTGTGAACACGGAATCTGGGACCCTGCTCAGAACCCGCCCGCCCCAGGTCTGCACACCTGAGCGTATCTGGGGGGAGCGGACCGCGCTCTGCAGAGCAGATGGCAACAGGGGAACCGCTGCCCGCGGCGGCGAATCCCTTCATCCGTCTAGCCTGCGACTCTCGACTGCGCCACGCCGCCGGGGCCCTTGCCGCCCCCCACCACAGACACGGCTGCCACGGACGGGGACCCGCAGAGCCGGGGTCGTTCCCGCGCAGACTCGCGGTCACGGACCTTGAGAGACGAGAGACTTGGTCCTGATGAAGGAGCGGCCCCTCTTCACGGCCGCCTTGGTCTTCTCCAGCCCGTCCTTGGTGCCCTCCCTGGCGGCCTTCATGAGCTTCTGCATCTGTTCGAAGAAAAGGAAGCACGTGAGATGCGGGATGAGTCAGTAACATTCTGCTTCCGATTAATTTATTTTAAAAGAATACTGTCAAGTAGCGTTCGGGCTTGAAACGTTACCTGAAATTGGCTTTTCGATTTGGGAGAGTTTTCGTGGTTATTGTGTGTGTGTGTGGTTGGGGGCTATTTTTTTGTTTGGTTTTGTGTGCTGAAAAAAGGAAAGAACGAACTTTAAAAACAGAGTGTTTCCCTGACGTGGCTGAGAAGTCGGTCTCGGCGTTTCCCACAATCCCTTGCAGACACAAAGAGGTCTGCAGAGGCCACAGGTGCCACGCTGCAGCGCACAGACGTCAAAGCACCTGCCCGAAATCCAGGGCAGAACTAACCGCAGACTCTCGTGGCCCCAGTTTAGCCTCACGCCTCCCACGGGGGCCCTTCCTGCCCGTGACCCGCTGGAGGCGCCGCCAGCCATTCACGGGGCCCCTTCCCACTGAGGTCGCGAGGACCCAGCGCCAACCATGGCCGAAGGGGAGGCCCAGCGACAAGGACCTGCTGCCACCCTGCAGGGACCTCAGGGGCGGAACCGCCACGTCCCGCGTGGCCCGGGGCTTGCTGGGTCTGCTTTCCTGGGCCAGACCTGACCATCACTCACGACCGTCCTGGAGCTCCCGGCACATCTGCGCATTTTAGTTCTAATCTTTTTTTTTTCTTTTTAGAGTCGGGGTCTCTCTACGTTGCCCAGGACTCGAACGACCTCCCGCCTGGGCCTCCCCGGTGACAGGGAGGCGGCCACGCTGCCTGGCCGAGGTGTTTCGTGTCTTAGTCTTTCGCAACCTCACACCCGAGTACTGGCCTCTGGACACCGCGTGATCTTTAGAGAAAACCCAAGTGCCCTGCTGGGGGACAGACCAACGCCCCTTCGCACCGACCTCTCCAAGGAGCCTGCTCGGCTCCCAGACGGCGGCCCGCGGCCGGCAGCGCAGACACACAGCAGGCACGGCGCCAGCCCTGACCAGACACTGCAGGCTCCACTGCCTCCTAAGGACGACCCCGGGCCACCACTCACGTGATGGGGACGCACCACGTGCACTGCCCAGCCAGCGCCCAACCGCAAGTCCGCCACCTGCACAGCCGTCCTCCTCCCCACGGCCTCAAACACACCAAAGGCACGGGGCTCCCGACTCCGCCTCCCTCCGCCCCAACAAGGGGCCGCGTCCTGCTGCCCCACCCTGGCGGATCTCGCCAGGTCCCGTCTCCCCCACCGCCAGTGGACCCGGCCCCGCCCTGGCGCCTCCCACTTGTTTCACAGCAAAGCGCCTCGAGTTCGCTCCTTCCCGACCCTGCTCTTCCTCACCCCAGACCCCCCTGGCCTGTCCGGGTCAGGGTCCCGCCACCCGGATCCCAGCTCCGCGTGAAGCAGCGGAAGACCCGGCTCTGGGAGGTGAATGACTGGCCCGAGTCACGTCCCCGCCAGGTCCCCTCGGACTAAATGAAGGGAGGCCGCTGGGCCCGGCCGCTGGGCTGGCATGGCCCTCGCTGCGGCCACACCTGCAGGTGTTTCCAATCGGCACCGTCCACCGCCCTGCGCTGGCCCCTCCACTCCACCCCGGGCTGCCCGCCACCCCGGGCCCCACGTCACGGCCCCACGGGGACACCAGCCACGTGCGGGATTCCCGGGCGCCCCCACGGCCTCCGGGCCTGAGCACAGCACGTGTGGAATGAAACGCTTCTGAACTGACGTCTGTTTTAGGGGAGCGTCATTCAACTCTCACGAACGAATCACAAAACATCAAGGGGACGAAGACCAAATTGGAGCGAACCTTACTTGACAGTGCCCTTTTAAAACACGTCTCGGAGACGTGACCGTCGCGACATCCAAACCCAGCAGTTCTCAAGCTTGGGTCTCGGGAGCACCTCACACTCCCAAAAATCACCGAGAACCCCAAATGGCTTTGGTTTATTGGGGTTTTATTTGTCTATATTTACGATAGATGTTAAAACTGAGGAAAAATTTAATATTTTTATAGCTATTCATTTAAAAAAATAAATCTCTTATATGTTATCTTAAATAACATATTCATGAGAATCACTACGTTTTACAAACAGGAGAGCGGCGTGGTCTTGAACTTCTTGGACACAGCCGGACTCTGCGCCCGTCGGCTGTGGGGCCACGGAGGCCCCTCCGTTCACGCATGAAAGCGAGGGGTGGACCGCGTCTCACATCCGTGAGACCCCGCGGGCATCTGGGTGACGCCGACCACCCCTGGCCCGCACTTTGAGAACTGCTGCTCCCAGGCCGGCGCTCAGCGGAGCCGCCGGGTTTCTCCTGCCGCGGCGCGTCTGCTTGGCGCTCGCGCTGCCCGCGCCGGCCAGCGCCTGCCACTCTACCTTCAGCTCCTGCTTCTGCCTCAGCTGCTGAAGCTCCACGGCGCCCACCGTGCTGGCCATCAGCTCCCTCACCTTTCTCTCATAGTGCTCCTTGAGCCGGCTCAGGTCGCGCGACAGCTACAGCACAAAGAGACAGCTCGTCACTCACGGCTGTGTCGGGACCGCAAGACGATCCTGCAGCGGGAGGACGGCGGCGGCGGCCGGTGGCGTTCGCGCGGCCGGTGGCGTTCGCACGCCCGGCTCCTCCGGGGACCGCACCCGCCACGCGGGAGCCCCGATCGCTAGCCCCGCCGCCGCCTGGGGGACGGACACAGCAGTGAGCAGAGCGCGTCATGGCAGGGCAGACGCGGCTTCAGACGGGCCAGACCGCAGACTCTCCGTGCCGGACAAGAGCAGATAAATGTACAAAATAATCTGTGCACAATTGCTCGTTTATGTTTTGATGGGATCAAAATTATCAACATACGAAATATGCATAAAATTCTTCTTTCATGTCAGCACCAAGCAAAGATGCCTGCATTCGGAAGTGTACTGAGGGTGACATGTTTGGACGTGGCCGGCACAGGTTCTTGACCGTCCGCACGCTGACAGGACGCCAGGGACCTTGCAGACCCTCCGTGCGGCCAGCGACCCTCGTGTGCGCACGGCTGGGCCCACCGCTGCTGCGAGGGCCAGTCCTCACGTCAGGGACGCTTTAGGCAATTTTTAATAAAACTTTGAGACCGTGTTTGAGATGAGTCTTGAGCAACCTATAGTTTTATTTTGGCCGTTTTTAAAATACGACTGTTTACACTGGGAAGCCGGCACTCCTAGGCAGTGCCACCTGAACGGGCCTCACCCCGGGGCTCCCTGTCTGCACCCGCCCCGCGTCCCACCCTGTTCCAGGGCGCTGCTCTAGCGCGTGGAGGTGCGGGAGGCGGAGGGAAAGGCAGCGCTCTGGGCTCCTGCGTCGTTATCCGCCCCACAGACCAATCCGGAGCTTCCACTCTGCTTCTCCCGGCATGTAGCGGCTGCCCAGCCACCCACACGCACCAGGCATTCCAGGTGCTCGTTCGGGAACACGGGCAGGCTGAGGGCAAGGCGGGCGGGGTTTTCCTTTACCGATGCTGCCGGCGGGCTCACCCGTGCTCCACCCGACCTGGCCCCGTTTGCCCATAACCCGCCGTGAAGACGGAACGTAAGTGCTCTAACAGGCGTCCCGAGGCCCACTGGACGCTCTACCCAATCAGAGCCCAACATTCTTCGCAAAGCTCGGGTTAAATCATGGGTTTCTGACTGGGCCGTGTGAGCTAAGTATCCTGTTGGCCATGACAAACTGCAAGCCTGACCTCATCTGTCGTGTAAATCTCAGCTGTCATAATTCTGGCCACCGCTCCTGGTCAAAGCTTGTTAATAACACTGGGCAGTGAACTGACCACCACGGATGGGCAGATTCTTCCTGAGTTTCATGAAACAAATTCACAGAATGTGGGAAACCCAAGCAACCCATAATAACCTGTAAACCACACGGGCGGGGCAGCCACATCTAGGAATGCATCTCTGTTCCCAGGGGCTGTTGGGGGTCAGGTGGGGGAAAACTGGCCACACCAGTGGCCCCAAGGTCAGGCCCCAGGTCAGTCGGCGCCAAGGACGGCGTCCGACTGGCCGGCTGGGACCGGGACTGCGCGTGGCCTGCATCTGGACCTCACACGGAGAGTGCGTGAAGCGCACGGACATTACCGTGGATCAGCACAGATTCGCCCTTCCGCAAACAGCCGGATAAAAACTCCACCAGCAAAACAGACAGCACAGCCAGGCACCTCCGGACCGGGAAGCCTCCTCGACCAGGGGGTGCCGGCCCAGCCCCTCCCACGTCCCCAGCTCCAGAATTCGCTCTTTCAAGCTCTGGTGTCTCCCTGGACCTCAAGCTAATGACTTTTCCACACACACAAAAACAAAGTCTAAAAACTCCTTTAAGAAGGGATCATGGTGGAGCGGCTCAGAAGCTTCTGTCCTTTGACGCCATTTTTAACATCCATTTTCGCATCTCCCTGTTCACGCTGGAAGCAAAGTGCAGCGGTGCGTGTCTGCGGCATCTGCTCGGCGTGCCGGCAAGCAGAGTCACGTGCACCGTGCAAAACACGCAACACAAACAGTTCAGAGAATAATTGTTCACTTTCCTAAAATCCTCAAGGTAGTGAGCTCGCCTGAGACCTTTCGGGCGATTTAGTTTATAAAAGTCTGATTTCCCAAATCCTCCCATGATCACACTTACACGAAACGACAGACCCTTCTGCCTTGCCCCCCATACCTCATGCTTCCCCCAGACCACGTGTCAGCATCTTAACGAATAACATTTGCGTGTTGCGTGAGTCGCGGTCGTATGTCCGAGGCCCAAGCACACGTCCATGCAGTGTGCCGTCCCCGACACGCGGACTGAACACGTACCTGCTTTTTGTGGTTGCCGCGCAGGAAGGACCTGGGCATCCCGCTCTTGCCCTCGGAGTCGCTCTGCTCTTCGTAACTTTCAAACTCGCTCGAGCTCCACCCGTACTCCAAGGAGCTGTTTCCACCTTCCTCCCCGTTCTCCACGTCATCGTAAATCATCTCCTCTGGATGCATAAATTCCACAGTGAAGTTAACACACAGACTTAGAATTCGCTGCCGACTGTCGTGTGCTTGTCTGTGGTTTTGCCAAATCGCCTAGAGTCGGGGGTGGCGGCACAGCTGGATAATCCCAGGGGAGTGTGGCACCCCGGCTACGCCCTGGAAAGGCACCACACAGACCTCCGCCACACGGGCGGTGACGCGTAGGGGCCGAGAAAAGCCCTTCGGGTGGTCCGTGACACTGGCCACGACAATCCGACATGATTGTGCCAAATAATGTGTCAGCCACAGAGAACTTTCCACAAAGGAAAATCTTTATGTAAATGTATGAATTATAAAAAAATAAATGGTATAGATACAGAACTGACAGGGAGAGAGACTGCAGGTAGGGAGCGGGCGACGGCCGATCGGGGACGGATGGGTGGGGAGAGGGGTGGACAGACAGACAGACAGACAGGCGGCAGAGATTCAAGTGCAGCACGAGTGAGGCTCCTGCCGAACAATGGTGAGATTTTTTCTGTGATAAAAACGCTCTAATAAAACGTAATCTGCTACTGCGTGTGGACGGCTTCTATCGCATCAGTCATTTCGGAATCAGAGAAGGACACGCCGTGCTCACGTCACCAAACACAAGGACAGGGGACCCGTGTTTTGCAACGCCGAGGGCAAGGTGTGCGTCTTTGCTGCGTGATCCCCGTTCTGCGACGTGGTAAACTGAGCCGCGCTGCCTCACAGGCTACCCGGCCCTAACCGGCAAAAAGACTCAACCCACGGCTGGGGCCTCTTCAAACAGGCGCAAAGGCCTCGAATGCAAGACCCATGGGACACCCTGACTTGTGCACGCGCGGGGAGCCGGGGCGGACACGTGGGCTTTCTATTTTCAATGCTATGCTGCTAGCAGGACCTTCAGAGAACAAAGACGATTCTCTGACCTCCCAGAACGCCGGTGTCTCTAACTTCTATCGCTGGCTCGCACGAGCTCCTCGGCGGGGGCACTCAGCCCGGGGCCCAGCCTGGAGGGTCCCTGGCTCCTCCCGGGTTGCGGGTCCTCGCGGGTGGCCACATTTTCTCTCTTGGTACTGGCAAGGGTCTCACTGTGGGGTTGGGGCTCTGCGGTTTCGACTGCGTTTGCCCAGGTGTGGACTGACGCAGAATTAAACCCGCTTTGAATCTGTTGCTCTAAAACCTGAGGATTTATATCTTTCTTTAATGCTAGAAAATTCTCAGTCATTCTTTCTTCGAATATGACCTTTCCTGATTCTGTTTTCTCATCTGTACCATTTATGAGATATACGTTGCTGCTTCTCACCTCTCTGCTCGTTTCCTCCGTATCTTAGCCCTTCCTGCTTCCCTGGGGTGATCACGATAACCTCCCTATTTCAAGCGTTGAAATATAAACACACACACGCGTGCACACACACTGATATTCTACTGCATACCATCCACGAGCCGCCACGCAACACGCAAACACGGAGAGAGTGCGCGGCTGCCATCCCGGGGTTACGCACGCACCAGACGGCCACTTCACGGGCAGAGGCAAAGCTGCCAAACCGAACCCTTAAACTCAATTCCAGACAGAATCGAACCTGGTTCAGAGTCCGAGTTCTCCCTGGGGACATCGTCGTAGATTGCTTCTTCAGGGTCTGGAAGAGAAAGGGAGGAAAACTTCAAGCACTGAGTCACACGAAGGGGGCGCGACTGCAGTCAGAGGGGGCCGCGGTCCCCGTGACGTCACAGTTATTCAGAGAGCGTCTAAGCGCAGTTAACAGCCCATCGGCAAAGCAGATGCATTAATTTTAGGGCAGAATATTTTGCTGGGAATGAAGGACATCGCCCTACGCGGGCCAGCTGTAAAGTACCACCAATAAGGAGCTCTGTGGCTTTGTGTTCGGTTACACATTTGCCTGGGGACGCAGGCACGACGCGGGGACGGGCTGTGAGCAAGCGTGTCTGTCCCCGAATCCGTAACTACTGTCACAAAAGCAAACCTGGTGCGAGGGGAAACGGGGAGGGCGGAGGGGTGCTCGATGGGATGAGGCGGGAGGCCCGGCACGCTCACCACGCGGGAGCCAACGAGCCGCTCCAGAGCTTTGGAGCTGGCCTGGGGCGGAGGAAAGCGAACACCGTCCCCCGCCCCCCACCCCGGTGCCGGCAGGACTCACTCTCCATCCAGGCCGTGTTGGCCGGATCCGCTGCCCAGCGGGCCAGTGCGCCGTCGTCTTTACCCACCTGGTCCTCGCTGAAAGAGAACAGACCGAAGTCAGACAGGAGAAGGGCTCCCCGCATTAGGTTGCTGGATGCCCTAGTGTGCGCGCGTGTGTGTGTGTGTGTAAATATATGTGTGTGTGCACGTGTGCGTAAATACGTGTTTGTGTGTAAATGTGTGTGTAAATACATGTGTGTGCATGTGTGCGTAAATACGTGTTTGTGTGTAAATATATGTGTGCACGTGTGCGTAAATACATGCGTTTGTGTGTAAATATGTGTGTGAATATGTATGAATATATACGTGCGTGTGAATATGTGTGTGTGTGTGCTACCGTGCGTGGGGATTAAGTGCTTTCCCAGGCGGTGCCATCGGACACCCCAGGTTCAAATCTCCCCCCGTAACTCTGTAACCGAGCGCTCACGCGTGCTCAGCCCGTGCCCAGCAAGGTGTCCAGGACGGGGGGTGCAGTAGGAACACGGTCCCTGCTGCGAAAGGCCCGACTGTCCCCAAGTTTCATCAGCCCCTCTGGGGGCCTCCTGGGGGCGCCCCCGCTGCTGGGGTGGAGGCACCAGGCAGGCTCGGCCTCTCCAACTCCAGAGACACGTGAGACCACCACATAAGACGCAGGTGTCAGCCTGTGGGCAACAGAAGCCTGGGGAACACTCTATTCAGAAGAATGGCAAGATCAGGGTCATGGGACAAATTGAGCGTGTCCCGTGAGAGGCACAGATGCTCACTAAGGGGACATGGTGGCAGTAAGGCCCGCGACGCCCGCGTCCTGCTGGGGGCAAACCAAGCCGTGCGCGAGAGCAGGAGCCAGAGGGCAGGGACAGGAAGGAGGGCGACCACCCAGACACGCAGGGAACACCCCGGAAAACCCACCCATGGGGGCATCACTGACATCAAGGTAGGTGGCAAGACACCGCCCCTCCCTCGCTACCACTTTGTGCTAAAGTCCTGACAAACCTGAAATATCCGGGTTTCAGGGTGAAGGGAGGGACCAGGTGCGACACCGCGCAGGCTCGGGGACACGAGGTTCGGGTGTGGCCCTGCGCATGGCAGAGGATGCGCCACGAAGAAAAGCCGTGTTCTTGCACTTTTTACATTTAAAGTTATATCAAAACAAAAAGTTACCCCCCAAAAAGGTAAAAACGGAAGAAACCTGGAGCAAACGCGAATGGTATTTTACATTATTCCTGATAGTTTCCATACGTTTCTAACACTTCACACTTTCGAAAATCATTGGAGGCTACTTTCACACCACTTTCGACATTCCTTTTCTCAAAACCGTTCGTCCTTTCCACGCACCTGTTTTTCGTGGTAAGTTTTAGAGTGCCGGTGATAACATGCCGCCACTAATTTTTAACTTTACACAGAATAAAATAAAAGGTCTTGGCTGGATGTGTTTTCTGACACAATGCTGTCTTCAGGCTGGGGGACCCGAGTAAGGGGAGAGCTGCTCCCAGGTGCCCCCTGCACCTTCTGAAGGGCTCACGCAGGTACACTCTGATCTGTCACGGGGCCGGCCTACGTGACCAAAACCGTGTGAAAACCAACAACAGGGCCAAGAGTCACGGCCATGCCTGGCCGGTGCAACTCGATGCCTGAAACAAACTCAGTTCTTATCCCCACACTCCGCTGCCGACCCTGCCCGCCCCAGGGGACACCCCGGGCGCCTCAGGAAACCGAGGAGGAGGCAGGGAGCCCTCGGAGCACCCTGCTCACAGCTCAGGACAAAGGCACGAACTCAGAACAAGTGTGTGAGATGAATGGAGTCACCTGTTTGGAGGGTCCTCGGAGCTTAGAGAATTAAACTGGTGATCTTCTGTGACTTCCGGTGTCTCTGCGAGGAAAGAAAAAAATTAATGCTGTTTTATGATGAATGAAAATAATGATGAAGTTGATTTTTCTTTTTGAGACAGGACCTCACTCTGTGACCTGGGCTAGATTGCAGTGGTGTGATCAGAGCTCACTGCAGCCTCAAAGTCCTGGGCTCAAGCGATCCTCCTGCCTCAGCCTCAAGTAGCTAGGACTACAGGCATGTGCCACCACACCAACTAATTTTTCTATTTTTTTTAGAGATGGGGTCTCACTATGTTGTCCAGCCTGGTCCCGAACTCCTGGCCTCAAGCGATCCCCTGCCTTGGCCTCCTGAAGTGCTGGGACTACAGGTGTGAGCCACTGTGCCCAGCCTAAAGTTGATTGTTTATCCTTAAAATGATTTCATATTTCCATTTCTTATCAACGATAAGCTTATCTTAGCATAAAGATCAGCTGATAAATTTAGCAATGTTTAGCTTTTAGGTAAACTGTATTCAGAACAGCACTATAATGAAATGTGATATCCTGAGGGCTTTGGAAAGAGCCATAAGCCCAGATACACCAGGCCAGAGCTAAGTGGCAATGAAATATTCTCCCCCATCCCCGTGTGTTCACGGGAAGCCACGTTTGTGATTTATCTGAAGAGGCATCTGCTGCAAACACTGAAGCTCTCCAAGGGAGCACTAGTGAAGCTTGTGAGATTTGACAACGGACCTTCTCCACCCACAAACTCTCGCACACGCACACACCGGCCTGGTCCCGTGGGGCTCCCTTCCCACCTCTGTCAGTGGCTGGCGGGACGGGTGGTGAGCTTGTGGCCAAGGCCACAGTGCAGGTCTGTGCAGAGGGACGGGACTGGACCATCCGAGACAGCCCGAGGAGTGTGCGGGGCCAGGAGGGGACGCTCCTGCCTCGAGGGCTGGGCGGGAGCTGCGGAGAGCCCCAGACAGCTACACGCACGTGCACGACCCCCCAAGTCCTCTGACGGCTCCGCCACCGCCCGGGGCGCCCGAAATCGGTGGCGGGAAGGAGAGCAAAATGCTCAGTGGTTGCCGGTTGTTGATCGCTACGCTGGACGGCGACCACGAAACGCCTTCTGAGTGGAATTTATCTCGTGGCTACACAACGGTTCTTAAACCCGTTAGAACTGCGGAAGCTGACCCAGGGTCCGGAAAGCCGAGCTCAGCCTGGAGAGCTCACCCACAGATGTGTTCTCCTGGTCATGCCGGGCGCGGCCACACGGCTGGATGCCGCGTGGCCACAGACGAGATGCGGGTGACCGGATCTGCGGGGCAGCGCCACAGACCCCACGGCATTGACATGCGCAGTTTTCTGGGCCACGGAAAACTGAGGCATCTTCCCAAGGGCCCGTGTCTAGTTGGAGGCAGGACCAGGATCCGAAATCAAACCCGCCTGCTCCAAAAATTGCTCTTCCCACCACACTCCGTGCCTCCAAGAACCACCCGAATAACCCCTCAAAACACGAAAATATCCCCCAAGCTGAAGCAGACAGCACGTGCTGGTGGGCAGCAAACCCACTTCCCAGAGTGAACCACCCCCGGGGGCGGCCGGAGCACAGCTCGGACTCTGTCCGTGTGGGCCGCACGTGCACCGTCCGGGAGATGAGGGGCCCCCACACCGAGCGCCCCCACACCGAGCGCCCCCCACGCACGACACCTGCCCGGCGGGGAGGTCGGGGAAGGTGCGCCAGGGGCACCGCCCAGTCTCTCTCTGCTCCGCGAGCACCTGGGCACCGCGGCCCCCAGCGGACGCTGACACCCAAGAATTGCTCTTGGTCAGCAGGAAAAATGCTGGGACCCGCTCCCCCCAGTGCGGCCAGGCTTGTGCTCCAGGCAGCAGCCGGAACCTTCCGTCGCCGGGCGCGGAGGGAGCCTGGCTGGGAGGTGCGCCCAGCACAGCCCTGCAGGGCCAGGCAGGACCACGGCACAGGCGCTCGGAAGCCGCAGGGCTGTCCAGGCAGGAAGTCCGGCCGGACTTTGAACCCAGGCGCGAGGCCAAAATCCACGCTTTTTCCACCTCGGGAAAGAGGTCGTGCACTCATCTCTCCTTAAAGGATTAAAAGACAAACACAGGGTGACTTGTTCCTCCGCCCTGGCACTGACAGAGTCTTTGTTACAGCAGAGTTTTACGATCGGCTCTAGGTGGACAACACAAAAATAAGGAGCTTGTTTTAAAATCATTCTAAAGTATTTGAAAAATTATTTTAAATGAAGTTTGATCATTTAAAATAAACAGGTAATTTAAAAATAGCAAATTACTTTAAAAAATACGTCTTCCTTAAGCGCAAACTCTCCACAATCCACACGCCCTTAATTTCGGAAGGTTCTTACTTCTGACGGTTACAGGGGAACAGTGCTGTGGACCGCGGCAAAGCCCAGGATTACTGCCAACTTCGACAGAACGAGCGTGGGAAGACATCTATCCTGAAAACCCTCTGTGGTTTCCCAAATTCAAAATCGAGATTTTCCTTTAAAGAAGACTTTTTCCTCAACTGTTAACTGGAAAGGAAAGGACCTTCCCACTGGAATTTTCAATCAACGGGAACCGTGCGTCTCCCTCTCAGAGGCTGCTGTTCTCCGTTAGGAGAACATCTCACACGCCCGGGAATTCCTGCAGCGTGTCCTGGGAAAACCACACGGAGACATCCAGCCAGAGGCCTGAGGGCTCCGCTCTGAAGGTGACCAGGGTGGCTCTCGCGGGCAGAGGAAGGTTCTGGACCTCCGCTGCCCCTGGGCACCTGGACCTGCACAGGGCCTGCTCCCTCCGAGCGGAGGTGGCGGCCAAGGCCCCAAACCACACCTGTCAGGGGCTGTGGCCTTGGACACAGGAGAGGGAGGAAGGCGCACAGGGGTCACCCGCGGCCTGGCTCTGTGCCCTCGGCAGGGACGCGGGACACTGTCCCCCGCATCCTCCCTGCACCGTCCTCGCTCCTGACCTCCCCAGGGCTCCCGCGGGGCTCACGGGACACGCCAGCCCCTCCCCCCGAGTGCCCTCGGCCCGGAATGGAGACGGCTGGACGGACCCTGACCTCCAGGAGCCTGAATCTGCCATCGCGGATGACACTAGAGCACACAAGAACATAACCAGTTTAGACTAGCAAGGGACAGGGGCCAGAAAATGCAGGAGGCTTGGTGCATGCGGTAGGGGAGCAGTTCTCCTGTGGGTCCTCCCTGACAGCAAGGCCACTGCACTGGGGATCAGACCTCATTTCAAGGTTCTCCAAACAACACACTCTGACTCCCGTCCGTAACTGTGCTCCTGCCACAGAGGAAACTGAATTTGGGACTCGTGTTCCGACTTTGCAAACCGACCCCTGAAGCTGGGGGAGGGGCGGCGGTACCTTCCCCGTCCAGCGACGCGGCGCGCACGATGACCGGGCTAGAGTAGGCGGGCAGGAGCAGCGGCAGGCTGGAGGGGACGGCGTAGCCGCAGGGCACGGGCACCGCGTAGCCGCTGGGCACCAGCAGACCCGCGCCCTCCTCCTCCGCGCTGCCCTCTGGAGTTGGCGGCGGGTCTTCCTGGATCGGCGAGATGTCGATGACGGAATACGGGTTCACTTTCACCGGGACCGCGAGCTGGGCAGGTTCTGCCCCTGCGATGCTGTCGGCTGCGGTTCCGCCTTCCCCTCCTGGAGGACGCAAAAGGGACTTGTGGGCAGACCAGTCTGCAGGGGCGCAGGGACACCCCCTCCTGGCGCAGGCAAGAAGGAGCTGGGGATCCCACCTCCGTCCCCGGCGAGAGCCCCGGACACTCCCAGAGCATCGCAGGCAGCCTCAGGGCCCGGCGCACGGGCAGCCTTGCAGGGAGCCGGCACCCTGGGGTGAGACACGCCCGCCTGGCTGCGCCGAGACGGCTCGTCCAGGGAGCGAAGGCCGTAGAGGCATCGCTGGCCGCGCCAGGGGGCTTTGCACGGACAAGGAGGCACGCGCTGGTCCTCCGGCCGCACCGAGGTCCGAGCAGTGTGTCTGGTCAGGGTAAAAGCGCCCAACCCACCTCCAGACTTAACACCACAAACCCCTGCAGTGAACTCATCTCCAATGGCTTCAATATTTCATATAATACGGTGACGTAGCCATGAGGCGATGTTTATCGGAAAACAGCAAAACGTTTCTTTGCAAAACATAAATATAACGACAACAACGAATACTGTGGAAAACAGGAGGCAGGGAAGAAACGCACCAACTCAGAAAAGTCGTTTCAGGTTCACCGTGGGGAAATCACGAGTCTCCGGCTCCTAGAAACATCCTTTCCCCGCAACGCTCCAGCCAGGCGGGGAGAACGGGAGACACTCGGGAGCCCCGACCGCACCTGCGCACAGGCCCCACCAGCAACACCTGGGACTCACCTGGCGGGGAGGCCGCCGCGCCCACAGCCGCGGTCCCCGTGCCGGGCGCGGAGGGGGCCTGCCTGTCGGCTTCTGGGACTTCATCTCCGCTGTCGAAGTCGAACTGCTCTCCCTCGTCCTCCTCATTGTTGTTGGCATCGTGCTTCGCTTCGTTTTCTAAGGTTTAAAGGAACACACATCACAGCGCCAACGTACACCAGTACATCCTGCACAAAGACAAAGCCACAGAAGGGCCAAGGAGACAGAGACACACACGTACGGCAGAGACGCTAGGCCGCTCTCTGCCGAGGTTTCCTGGGAGAAATCTGCATCGTTAGAGTGCTGCATCACCATTTTTTATTTCCTTTCAGCAGGACTCACAAGTCACAGCTGGAAAAGAAAACGAGGAGGAAGGAGGAAAAGAACTTTTCACGTTTTAAATACATACGCCATGGACTTAGACATTAAATGGGAAAAAGCAAAGCTTAGCAGTGTATTAGCCAACGAGGGGGGAGGAACGTGCAACCCGGCGATGGTGTTCACTCGTTTGACTGTCCCCAACCTGTGCTCCCTCACGCAGGCGTGCTGGGAGAATCTGCCGCAGGGCGCTCTCGCCTCGGTAGGGGGATTCTGTCCAAGGCGGCTTTTTGTTCGGCGGGGGTGGGGAGGGGTGAAGGTTGCTGATAGAACACATTTTACATCACACGCGTGAAGATTTCTCATCAGACTTTTAAAAGAAAAATTCAGCTGAATTTATTGTTCAGGGAGCAGGACCCTGTACTAGCTGCAATCTCAAATCATTAGAGGGTCATTTTCTTTATAAGGTTTGTTCAGGAAAAAAAAACGCACGCCCTAGAACTAAGATGTTCTGAAACAGCACGGAGATCCCTGCGTACAAAATAGGCTCTTGAGTGTCTGTGAAGGGACGAAACGCAAGCTCTGGGGACGGGAACCCACGCTGTGCCCGCGTGGGAAGAGCGCGGCTCTCCAGTGTCTTGGTGGGGGGTGGTCAGTGGCCCAGGTCTGCGCGGGGGACGTAACCAGACGGTCTACCCTGGTCAGTTGGCAGTCAATCGACTCATCGATGCAAACACGAATTTCTACAAGTTACAAAACAGAAAATTGTAAGACATGTTTTTTCCTAATAGTTGCGACATAACATGGCCACGCCCATTTTAGCTTATGCCTAAACGCGGAATGCAAAGACAAGATACCTGACAATCCAATCTTTAAAACGCCGGACAAGGGGCTGCCCGTGGGGACCCCCAGGCTGACGGAAAGCGCGGCCAGTCGCACGGCCGGGGCCAGCGCCGCTGCAGCTCTTGGGTGGCCAGCGTGACTGAGGAACTGGCTTGTTCCGGTTATTTAATTCTAATTAATCCTAATTTTTTAGCCTAGTGGACCGTGCAGGCCTGAATCTTGGGTTACTAAGGAGGCAAACAGCCTGTCTGAGTGCGGAGCTGGCCCCACGCCCCTGCGGTCCCCCGCCTGTGTCCACACGGTCTGGAGCAGAGACTGGGTATTTTTAACAGATAATGTCTTAGAGCAGTTTTAGGTTCCCAGCCAAAGCGATCAGGAGGTACAGAGAGCTCCCGAATGTCCTGTGCCCCCCACATGCGGCCTGTCCCCCATCGACACCCCCAAGTGGGGCGTTTGTTACCGTCGACGCACCCACGACGTCGCGACGTCACCACCAAGGTCCACAGCCCACCTGAGGGCGCCCTCTGGGCGCCGCGTGTTCCGCGGGTCTGTGCAGAAGCATGAGGACCTGTACGCAGCACCGTGGCATCACGCAGAGCAGTTTCATGCCCCGCCCCGTGCTGCCCCTGTTCATCCCTCCACCCCACCCTGACCCCTAACAACTCTGATCCTTCACCATCTCGCGGCTTTGCCTTTTCCAGAGCGTCACGGAGTCGGGACCACACAGCACGCAGCCTTTCCAGACGGCTTCTCTCACCCGGCAACACGCATTTGAGTTTTCAGTCTTTTTGTGACGGGATGGCTCGTTTCTTCTCAGTGCCAATATTATTCCAGTTTCTGGAGGCACCGGTTCATTTCTCCCTTTGCCCACGGAAGGACATCCTGGCGGCTTCCAAGCCTTGGCGATTACGCACAAAGCTGCTGCAAACATCCGCGTGCAGGTTTCCACGGGGACAGTTTCCCGCTCACTGGGTGAACCCGGGCAGCGCGATGCGGGTCGTGCGGTGAGAGTGTGCGGCTCTGTAGGGGCCGTCCGCGCCCCACCGCAGTCGGCGAGCGGCGGTCCCTGGGGGTCCGCATCCTCACCAGCGTTTTGTGCCGTGAGTGCTCTGCATTTTGGCCATTCCAAGTTTAGTTTTAATTAAAGCTTTCTTAAAGAGGAAAAGAATTACCAACAAAGTATCTAAGTTCAGTCTGACACTTATCACCCGCTGTGCGGCGACGAGGCTGTCCTGACTGGAGAACGCGCTGTAACTGCCGCCCTGCGCACCCCAGTGGGCGAGCTGCGCAGTCCGTGGATTCCTCAATAAAGCCGTTAACCAAAAAACTTAATCTCTCATTGCAAATAACCAACACATATAAAACAACAACTGCCACCTGGGTTTGTCAGGCAAAAATACATTGCTAATGTCAGCAACTTACCAATA